TGCATGTATGCATGTATGTGTGGGTGGGTGATATGTAGCAGCAAGAGAAACGTGATAGGGAATAAATATCTTGAATACCTAAGCGGAGGAGTCGAAAAATCTGTTTAACACAAAAAAGATAATGTATTCATAACACTGTCAGGTGACGAATCCTGCTATTGGGTGTTAGCTTCAACACAGAAAAAACTCGACCACCCTGACCGATTTCAGGAGTGACTGAATTTCTCCAAAGTCAAGCATCGTCCCGTTTTTAACCTTTCCTCTCTCTATCTCTCCTTCTCTTCCTCGTTCTCTCTCCTTCTCTCTCACCCATCTCTTACTCTCTCTCACTCTCACTCACACACACTCTTTCTCTCTCTCTCTCTATTTCATTCATTTTCTCTATCTTTTCCTCAATCTCACAACTCTCTCTCTCTTCTCTCTTCTCTTCCCTCTCTCTCTTTCTCTTTCTCTTTTCTCCTTCTCCCTCTCCCCTCTCCCTCTCTCCGTTCTCCTCCCTCTCCGTTCTCCCTCTCTCTCTCGTTCTCCCTCCCTCTCCCTCTCTTCTCTCTCCTCCTCTCCCTCTCCCTCCCTTCCTCCCTTCCTACCTCCCTGACTTCCCTCTCCCCTCTCTCTACCTCTTTGTTTATTCGCTTTAATGTATATTTATGCGCGCAGATTCACGCAACAAAAATGGGGGGGGGTGACCTGGTAACATTTGAGAGTGAATGTACTCACACCAGCCCATCGCCGCTGCCATGTGACCGCCCGTGCTCACCATAGCAGCAAATGCTTTCATCACGCCCTCATCCTCCATCACTCACGCTCCATCATTCCTCATCACGACCTCATCCATCACTCTCCCTCGAGTATCACGATCCTCCATCACATCACGATCATCGAGTATCACCTCATCCCTCATCACTCTCCTCGAGTATCACGACTCATCCTCATCACTCTCCCTCGAGTATCACACCTCATCCTCCATCACTCTTCCTCGAGATCACGACCTCATCCTCCTCACTCTTCCTCGAGCATCACGACCTCATCCTCCTCACTCTTCCTCGGGATCACGCCTCATCCTCCTCACTCTCTTCCTCTGAGCATCACGACCTCATCCTCCCTCACTCTTCCTCGAGTATCACGACTCATCCTCCTCACTCTTCTCGAGCATCACGACCTATCCTCCATCACTCTTCCTCGAGCATCACGACCTCATCCTCCCTCACTTTCCTCGAGCATCACGACCTCATCCCTCCATCACTCTTCCTCGAGCATCACGACTCATCCTCACTCTTCCTCGAGCATCACGACCTCATCTCCTCACTCTTCCTCGAGCATCACGACCTCATCCTCCCTCATCTCTTCCTCGAGCATCACGACCTCATCCTCCTCACTCTTCCTCCATCATCACTTCCTCGAGCAATCACGACCTCATCCTCCTCACTCTTCCTCGAGCATCACGCTCCTCCTCGAGACGACCTCATCCTCCATCACTCTTCCTCGAGCATCACGACCTCATCCTCCATCACTCTTCCTCGAGCATCACGACCTCATCCTCCATCACTCTTCCTCGAGTATCACGACCTCATCCTCCATCACTCTTCTCGAGCATCACGACCTCACCTCACTCTTCCTCCATCCTCATCCTCCTCACTCTTCCTCGAGCATCACGACCTCATCCTCCATCACTCTTCCTCGAGCATCTCATCCTCCTCACTCTTCCTCGAGCATCACGACCTCATCTCCCTCACTCTTCCTCGAGACACGACCTCATCTCCTCACTCTTCCTCGAGCCCACGCACTCTTCTCGACCTCACTCATAGCAGCAAATGCTTTCATCACGACCTCATCCTCCATCACTCTTCCTCGAGCAGCACGACCTCATCCTCCGTCACTCTTCCTCGAGCACGACCTCATCCTCCTCACTATTCCTAGAGATCTTATCCTCACTCAATATTCCTAGAGCACCACGACCAAAACCCTTGAAACAAACATATCACATACCAAATACTTCCATTCTTACCATCCCTCCGCTATCTCGACCTCGACGGTTACTATCCACAAAACCATCCGCTGAACCAAGGACTTTCGACAAACACAAGCGATCAGCCGTCTCTGTCATTGTCTTTATTGCCAGGAACCTTTTTAATTGTTATTGTTATTATTATTATTATTATTATTATTATTTATTATTATTATTATTAATTTATTTTTATTTTTATTTTTATTTTTTATTTTTTGCGTCTCCCCGGCGCAAGCACAACCGGCGACTCCATTCTGCTTGAAGCCGTTGCCGATCCTGTTTTGGCGTGCAGTGTTTGGCTTCGTGAGTCACACAGCGTTTCTGTTGAGGGCTGTGAGATGGGCAAACATCCTTTCCCGAGCCATTTTCTTGCGTTTTCCTACTCTCTCTCTTTCTATCTCTCCCTCCCTCTCCCTAACTCTCTCTCTCTCTCTCTCTCTCTCCTAACCCTCCCCTCCCTCTCTCTCCCTCTCCCTTCCCACTCTCTCTCCCTCCCATCTCTCTCCAAACCCTCCCTAACCCTCCATCTTTCTCTCATACTCGTCGTTCTATCGTTCTCCCTCTCGATTTATCAGTGTTGTGGCATACTCGTACACACCGTTGAGTTCCTTTATTGAATTACGATGCAAGATGGAAATACGTAGTAAGTGAGCAAAATCTCTTATTAGTTTAATTTAATTATTTATTCATTTATTTATTTATTTATTGACGCCGATTTTTTATCATGTAATTTTTTTTACTCAATATCACACACAAACAATATGGCGATTTTGAGCAACATGGTTCCACGATAATTTAGGTAAGATCAAGGGAATTCGATCTTTTATTATCGCACAGAGGAAATACTGGAGACCACCCAAGCTCAGAATTCTCGCATAAAAAGAAAAGAAAAGAGAGAGAAAGAGAGAAAAAAACGACGAAATTGCAAAGAAAAAATAATGCGTCTGAAATTTATTCCTGCAGCAGGTCTGGCGATGTTTGACCTGCAAATAAAACGAGCAAACAGAATGACGTAGACAAAGAAAACACTGCTAAGGCTTTTAAGGAGTCAAATACCGTCTGCTTTTCTGTCGACGAAATGGGAGAGGGAGAGGGAGACAAAGAAGGAGAGAGAGTGTGAGAGTGAGAGAAGAGAGTGAGAGTGAGAGAGAGAAAGAAAGAGAGAGAGAGAGAGAGAAAAGGAGGGAGGAAAGACGGGAGAAAAGAAGGAGGGAGGAAACAGGGCAAAGGAAGGATGGAGGAGAGGAGATGGGAGAGTTTAGATGGGGGAAAGAGAGAGAGAGGAGAAGATGATGAGAGGAGATGGATGGATAGGGAGGAAGGGAGGGGGAGGGAAAGAGGGAGGAAAAGAAGGCGGGAAAATGGGAGGAGGAGGAAGAGAGAGGAGAGAGAGAGAGAGAGAGAGAGAGAGAGAGAGAGAGAGAGAGAGAGAGAGAGAGAGAGAGAGAAGAGAGAGAGAGAGAGAGAAAGAGAAAGAGAGAAGAGAAAGATAGAGAAAGATAGAGAAAGAAAGAGAAAGATAGAAAGAGAGAGAAGGAGAGAGACAGATATATATATAGAGAGAGAGAGAGCACGTGTTCGCCAAGGCCCCCAGGAACGAAGTGGCCAAAGGTCGGAGCCGCACACCCGAGGGCGCGGAACCAGCCCGAAGAGGAGCCCGAGCGGAAGTTTCTCCGACGCGCACTTTCACCGACAGACAAAAATGCACGCATGCGCTGTGGCGTGTCTGTGTGCCTGCCTGCGTGTCGGTCAGTCTGTGTGTCTGTGTCTATGTCTGTCTGTCTGTATGTGTCTGTCTTTCAGTGGACCGGTCGGTCTGTGTCTCTCTGTCTGTCTGTCTGTATGTCTTCCAGTTAGTATATCGGTCGGTCTGTGTCTTTGTCTGTCTATCTGTCTGTGTCTGTCTTTCAGTGGACCGGTCGGTCTGTGTCTCTCTGTCTGTATGTCTTCCAGTCAGTGTATCGGTCGGTCTGTGCCTGTCTGTCTGTGTGTCGGGGTGTCTGTACGTGTGTCAGTCTGTCTGTCTTTATTTCTCTTTCTTTGACATCGTATGTATTCTTGTAAATGTGCAAACGGTATCATAAATAAGTGAACATGTAAGTATATAAATGAATGAATAAGTAAATAAATGAATAGCAAATATATACTAATGTGTGTGTGTGTGTGTGTGTGTGTGTGTGTGTGTGTGTGTGTGTGTGTGTGTGTGTGTGTGTGTGTGTGTGTGTGTGTGTGTGTGTGTGTAATAATTTGCTTCCCTTTTTTGACTTCGTACGTATTCTTCTAAACTGTGTATGTTATATAAAACAAGTAAACAGATGAACCGATAAATAAATGAATAAATCATTTGTACACACGCATACACAGACGCACGCAAATACAAACACACACAGAAACGCACGCACGCACCTACACCCACACACCCACACCCGCAAACAGTGTGTGTGGGTGGGTGGGGTGGATGGGGGTTGGTGCGTTGCCATGAGTGAACAGTCAAGTTTTAATTATCGACTATAATAAAAAATGAAAATCATTGACCATAATCAGAGTAATTTTTGCTTCAGATTAGATATGCTAGAAATATAAATATAAATTGACTTTCCCATACATCCGTACTCATTATCACAACTTTCATCAAAATCTACAAGGATGTAGACAGACAGACACGAAATCATACAACAGAAGATTTGTTTTTTGCACAAAGTAAAAGTTTCGACCCAGGTAATGAGAAAGCCTCTATGCTTGTTACCGTTTTCGTAAACATGTCTATTGTTTTAATAAAGGTCACGTTGCTTCTTATTTCAAGAAAACTGCATCAACAATATTGTGAAAACAGAAAAAATCAGAGCGGCTTTTTAATCCAGAAAGAAAACTACATCCCAAAAGAAATTTGATCGTAATCAAAAAAGGTTTATTTAAAGAATAGAATTTCCCCCAAAAAACCTGGTGTGTGTGTGTGTGTGTGTGTGTGTGTGTGTGTGTGTGTGTGTGTGTGTGTGTGTGTGTGTGTGTGTGTGTGTGTGTGTACGTATAAGCTTATGAGTTTGCGTGTACGTGTGTGTGTGAGGTGCGTGTGTATGTGTTTATGTGCGTGCGCCTGACTTGTGATCTCTCACCAAGCAGACGCACCCCCGACCCCGGCCCTCCGCGCGAGCGCCCGCCCACATGACTCGGCGCCCACGGACGATTCCTGCCGCTCGACCCCCCCCCCCTCTCCAACCCCTGTGAGCCGTCCTTAGCGCTGCGTCGATTTCCTGGCACCAACCTTTATCCATTTCCCATCCACTTGACATGCAGTGGTACTTTTTGGTGCGCGATTAGAATCAATAAAACAACACTTAAAATGCATGTAAGTACACCCGTAGTTTGCAATGCCATTTTAGTACACACAAGGAGAACAAAGGGTGCACATCACCCAACACACGTGCTGAAGGAATACAGCGACCGAGCCCTATCAGAACGCTTTAACGAACAGCAGCAGTGAAGTTTGCAAAATTCCACCAAAGTTCGTATTGGGGCCTATTAGAGAGTGGGGTTCGGGGCAGGCATTTCCCCCTCGGGCAATTTCGGTCCGGGAACCCTTTTTAATGGTGTTTTTCCTCGTCTGCAGCAAACTGGTATTGTATAACGGAAGCAAGAGTGAAAGCCGTGGTGAGGCGAGAGTGCAACAGTACTTGAGAAGTGAAGCTATTATTGCTAGACCCTCATAGCGTATGGCATGAAATTAAGCACCTATAACAGCGCTACAGACGACGTCGGGCAGTCGCAGTCTCCGCTCATTCGTGAAGGCAATACATCAAAGAAGCTTAAAGGCGTCAGTAACAATATATATATATATATAATAAATAAATAAAAATAAATAAATGCGGCACGTAAGGAAAGGTCAGTGAAGCTGATAGTGAGCACAAGCAGAGCAATGACGATTAAAAAATGAATGGGAAAATGACTACCACTTTGGAAGAAAACTGACGGATCAGACAGTGATTATTTACCACAAGTTTTCTCGTTAATTTCTTCATTTTCTCTCCCACGAAGTTTCACAGTACTGCTATACTTTTTATCCATAAAATTCATTGTACAGACAAAAAGAGCACTTCAGTTCTTGCTTGTGACGTCACCAAAATCCTGGTATCAGCAAAATGACTCGGTGTTTATACCAAAAAAAAAAAAAAAAAAAAAAAAAGTCAAACCTGAACCATAATCATCTCTATTGCGAAGTGGAGAATTTAGCTTCGATTTTTAGTTCGTAACGACGTCGTCAGCGAACGAAAACGGAGATACCCGACGAAGTTTGAAGTTTGAAAGTCGGGTGTCGAGATCTCGGATTCGGGTGAAAAGTAAAACCCTAAGGTCAGCTTGTTTGTCACACTGTCAGATTATATTCCCTTTTGGTATTAAAGCTAGGTCGACTTTTGCAATTATTTCGAGAATTAAACCGCAATATCTAAATAAATATGATGGGAGATAGATATTTATGTGAAGGCCATCAGCTAAGCACTCTCAAACATGATCCAGTAAAAGAAAAGGAAAGAAAAAATGTATATATATATGAAAGAATATATTCATATATATATAAACATATATATGTATACATATAAACATATAAATATATATAAACGTATATATAATCATATGTGTGTAAACATATATATATATATATATATATATATATATATATATATATATATAGATAGATAGATAGATAGATAGATAGATAAGTAGGTTGATAGACAGATATAAATATAAATATAGATATATCCCAAAAATATATATAAACATATATATAATAAATAAATAAAACTCCATTCGCCTTATGCCAACATTCCCTTCTGTAATTACCTCAACAGATACATTATTTATGAATAAGTTTGTTATCAGAGACATCAGTAGCTCTAAATCCCCCGTTGTAAACCGAGACTCGGCAGAATTTTAGCCACATGTGTTTTGCTTAAACGAGATACCCTGTGATAAGAGAGGGAGGTGAGGGGTGGGGGTGGGGGGAGCGCAATTGCTGATCGTAATCTCGTTTTTTACTTACACACACACACACACACACACACACACACACACACACACACACACACACACACACACACACACACATATATATATATTATATATATATATATATATATATAATTTTTTTTTTTTTTTTTTTTTTTTTTTTAATGAAGGATCACTAGCACCAGACACACACACACACACACACACACACACACACACACACACACACACACACACACACACACACACACATATATAGAGACACACACCCACACACACACAGAACCACACACACAGATACACACTCACACACATACACACACGCAGATACACACGCAGACACACACACACACACACACACACACACATACAGGACAAGGTTTAATTCATTCAGTTATTATAATTAGTGATATCAATATTCATGTTTTATCGTGTTTATTATTCCTACCATTATCATTATCATAATTATCATAATTGCCTTTATTAGTAGTAGT